GGTGTAAATGGGTGCAACGGTGTTGGGTGTAAATGGTGGTGTTGGTGTAAATGGGTGGTGTTGGGTGTAAAAAATGGTGGTGTTGGGTGTAAAACTGGGGTGGTAGTGTTGGGTGTAAATGGGTGGTGTTGGGTGTAAATGGGTGGTGTTGGGTGTAAATGGGTGGTGCTGGGTGTAACTGGATGGTATTGGGTGGTGTTGGGTGATACTTATGTACAGTAAGTGGGTGGTGTAACTGGTGGCGCTTGGTGTAACAGATGTACAAACAAAACTATCTCTCTCTCTCTCGTCAAACACCAACACAGCCAGGAGAAAAGAGACAAAGGAAAGAACAAAAGAAAGCACTTAACTCTCCCATAAAACACCTCACCCATACATATATCAGGTAATCCACTCCAAAGAAAAACAATGACCCCCATCTGGCAACATCTAAACCGACGTGTTGTGACGTGTTGGGAGAAAAACTACGATAATATGTGATAATTATACCCAATTAAACAACTCAAACACTTGTAAATTATATAATTAGACAATATATACATGCTCATACCTATATTCTGACTACCTAAACACCCGTAATATAAGTACAGGAATGAGAGTTTGACATACTGTATATTTACTGAAGAATTGTGGTCAAAAACATCTGTTATCCATATTATAAAGTAGCCCTAAGCAATTGTCACCTGTAAAGTACAATATAGTTCAATACCTGTCAAAAGTACCTGGCCACCTCTTGATATACTCGTAAGCTTGACATATACGTTATAATCTGCCTTTCCTTGTGTCAGTCAGATTTATTTAACTGTCAATCTATCATTCATCTGTCAGTCTATTACTTTACCAGTCTATTGACGTTACCAGTCCTATCTCTGTGTTACCTCCAAGGATAAACAATCTCACTTTCCTAAAAAAAAGTAGCCTTCATTACTTTCATTCTAATATATATGTGAGACTTGGCCCCTCACACACACCTGAGACTACACTTGCCAACTGTTTCGAAAGAGCCAGGTGTGTAAACATGTGTGTGTGTGTGTGTGTGTGTGTGTGTGTGTGTGTGTGTGTGTGTGTGTGTAAAGATGTGATACATTTGTCAACCATCATCGTCATTTGTTTTATAATTATTCTCTCTGTTGTTGTAGGTGTTGTGTTTCGTCTTATTTTTGGTGTTATTGATGTTTGTTGTTGATTTTGTTGAGTAATGTTGTTCTTGATATTATAGTCGTTATTGTTATTTTCTATGTATTCTGACAACCTGCAGGAATATATTTCACGTATAGGAGGAGACTGGAACACACATCACTTGGCCGTAGCCATTTGTTGTGAGGAAGTTATGGCGGTATCTGGCAATCCCTCTATGATATCTTAACATTTGTACATAGATTCTGGTGTTAAGATTTTACTTTTTATGTATTTTATTTATAGTTAATCCTGATTTTAGAACTCGTAAACAGGACAAAAAATAAGAGAAATGACAATTATTTGTATATTATTTTTGCAGGTTGCGAGTTGTAGGAATATTCTCTGTGATGTCAGAATATTTTGTGACGTAGAAATAGCCGTGTGACGTAAGAATATTTGCTGTGACGTAGAAATATTCGCTGTGACGTAAGAATAGAATGAATCTTCGCTTTAACGTCATTTATTTTTTCTATAGATAACACAAGAGAGCCGTGACGGACGCCTCGCTACATATCGTAATGTTAACAACAGAGTGTGCAGGGAGGTGAATCTAGGTAAAAAAGTCACAGGAAAGTATTCTAACCCAGCCTAGCCTAGCTTAATCTAACCTAATCGAACCTAGCGTAGCGTAGCCTAGCTTAATCTAACCTTCAAACTTAATCTACCCTAGCATAGCTTAATAATAACTTAATCAAACCTAGCCTAGACTAGCCTAACATAAAATAACCTAACCGAACCTAACCTAGCCACAGCCTAGCTTAATCAAACCTAACCTAATCTAGCCTAACCTACCCTAACCGAGCTTAATCTAACATAAATTAACCTTACCTAGCCTAGCTCAGCTTAATCTAACTTAATCTAATCTAACCTAACCTAGCCTAACCTAACTTAGTCTAAACTAACCTAACCCAACCCCCAAGGTAGAGTTAGGGTGTCAAATATTCAGGTGAAATAAGCTAGGGTGTCAAATATTCAGTTGAAATAAGCTAGGGTGTCTAATACTCAGGTGAAATAAGAGGAAACTGCACCCCATACTAGGCAGTCCCGTTTACACCCAACCCCTTTCGCTCATCCAGCCTAGTATATTTGAAGCTATCCAGCGTGTAGACTAAATCTAATTTTTTTTCTAATTTAAAACCATTGCTACGAGTTCGCTCCTGTTTGGATAGTTTGAGTACCTTTGTTATATCACCTTTGTTTAACCAATCTATACACCTCGATTATATCGCCCCTCACTCTACGTCTCTCGAGGGAGTGCAAATTAAGATGCTTTAACCTGTCTCTGTAATCCAGGTCCCTAATTCCCGGGATTAGTATTGCCACTCTCTTCTGAATTCTTTCTATGATTCTATATCCATTCTGTAGTACGGTGACCAGAACTGAACTGCGTAATCCAAGTGAGGTCTCACAAGCGCAAGATATAGTTTTAGGATGACCTCGCTAGTCTTGTAACTAACACTCTTTTGTATGAACCCAAGTACTTTGTTAGCCTTGTTTCGAGCAAATACACATTGTTTACTTTGTCTAAGTCGGATATCTCAATAACAACGTTGTTCATCTGATATCTGGTTTCTCTGTTTACATCTCCTAGACTAAGTACTTTACATTTGTCCACATTAAATTTTATCTGCCATTTTTCAGACCATTCGAAATTTTTTTGGAGATCTTCCTGTAGTTTTACGAAGTCTTCGCCAGATTTAATTACACGCCCTATTTTAGTGTCGTCACCAAACTTACTTATGTTGCTGTCTACGTCTATATGTATGTCGTTTATGTATATAATAAATAGTAATGGTCCAAGTACTATGCCTTAGGGTACTCCACTAGTGACGTTATCCCAAACGGAGTGCCGTTAATGCTTACTCGCTGTTTCCTGTCCTGTACTCACGCCCTAATCCATTTTAGAGTATCTCCTCCACTTTACGTATTAGTCTTTCGTGGGGGACCCTGTCGAAGGCTTTGCTAAAGTCGAGGTAAACAGAATCATAATCATAGGGTGTCTAATATTAAATTGAAATAAGCTAAGGTGTCCGATATTCAGGTAAAATAAGCGAGGGTGTCCAATATTCAGGTAAAATAAGCGAGGGTGTCTAATATTCAGGTGAAATAAACTAGGATGTCTAATAATCTGGTGAAATAAGCTAGGATGTCTAATAATCTGGTGAAATAAGCTAGGATGTCTAATCTTCAGGTGATCCGGAAATATTAACGCAAGACCCAGTAAGAATCCGTCTGAGTGTCGTGACTAAGGAGAGACATTACATTACCTATCACTACCAAACACTGCACTAAAATTTCTGTTAAAATTCTGGAATAAAAATAACATTCATTTAAGTTTTTATTTTCGTCATAAAACCCATAATGACATCATCCTTGTCTATAATATTTAATGTCTTTTTAATGCAAGTAGTTAATAGTTTCAAATATCATTTCAGCCAGAGATATTCAGTATTGTTTCATCATATTTTTTTTTCAACAAGCTAACGAAAAAGTAGTGAAACACGTGTTAATATCTTCCTTATTATTCTAAATCATCTTCATCAAACTACCATTCAGTAGAGTTGATTGTTGTGAAATTACTATCTTAATAACTCTTAATAAAGGAGAACTTGGTGGGGAGGGCAGTGGTTCTGGACAGCTGATGGAGGAGGAGGAGGTAGCTGTCCTGACTCCACCTTCCTACACTCCCATTGGACAACTCTGGCGCGTGTGGGCGGAGCTATCACGCACAACACGTGTTGAGGTTTACAAATCCTTGAATTCCCGTGATATTTGTCTCTATAAGGCTCCGTATATTAGAAATTAAGCTTTGGTATAATAACTATATGTATGATTAGTTCCTAAATTACAGGAATATATGGGTTATGGGGGTAAAATACGATGCTGTGATGAACGCGCATGCCTTGCCTGTCCCAGCTCCCAGCACGAGACTGGTGTGTTCCTAGTCCCGTTATCCAATCACGAGTCGCACGTGCTGAGTTTCCGTCCTAGTATTGATCTCTTACTGCGCTCTCTACATCCACGCCGATAAATTCCTTACGTTCTTGAACCGTTAGTGCGATATTAGCTTGTGAATTCATATGAAATTATGACCGTTTGGTTCTGTATCGGGATGAGATAGTGAGTAGTGGGTAGTGGAGTAGCGTTGAGCTGTTCCAGTATCGCCCTGGGGGTCCGTCGTGTTACACAATCCCGTGCTCCTCCGTCACTCAGGTCCCTCCGGGTGCTTATCCTATACAGTTCAAAACTACTTCCGCTGGAGGTGTTGTTGATAGTTAATCCGCCCATCTACGTCTGCCTAGTGCTGGAAAACATCGCCAGAACCTAGATAAAACATTGGTGTGTGATTTCCTATTGGGCATTGTGACAACAGGCGAAAATAAAAGAGTTAGGCCTCAATCAGCTGCTAAAGGTCTGTGACAGTTGCCCATCTCTCGCCCTGAAGAACCCACGTGTTGACCTCTCGAGACCTGTGTGGTGACTGGAAGATCCTGCCTGGCCCTTACAAGGTCAATTAAGGTAACTGTTTATGCCGGAAAAGGTTGAGGCGCCCGTCAGCAGCAGAACCTGGAGCACCACCTTCCCCTCACCCAGGAGATCCGACCTAACCTAATCTATCCTAGCCTAACCTAACCTAACCTACTCTAACCTAACCTAGCCTATGCTTGAGCCAACTATATCTTCAAGAGGCTGAGCCCATTTAAACCTCCATTCACAAAACCCAAACCTAACCTACAGTACAGCCAATCGAACCTAACCAAACGTGCCCAGCCAACTACCCAAGACCACCGTCACAGACCACCACCACCTACATGCCCATAATGTCTCGCTCATTCCTCGTGGACTCCCTCATCTCTCCTCGCACCTCTGACACCAGTGGGCGTGGTCCTCGAGCCTACAGCCCGCCCACCACCACGGCCCTGCCCGCCCTTCTACCTTTACATCCATGCCCGCCGGGGAAACACAGCGACGTCCTATCCCTCTATTCCTGTCGATCCTGCGTCCCTATCCCCCCGGCCCTCAAGCAAGCCATGGCGCCCACATTCTCCTCCTTCACGCCCACTCTCGCTTCTAATTACGCACACACACCAGTCAGTCTGGCTCATGCGCCCGTCCTACGTCCTGTGCCCGTCTCTCTGTCCATGCCCCATATCTACGCCCCGCTCTACACGCCCACACGCCCACAGCTCACTACTCTCACCACCACCACCACGCCCATCCCGTCTGAGAAGAAATCGCCTGTTCAAGGTGAGTGTGATAATTAACATGTTTCTTGATTGTGTTATTATTATTATTATTATTATTATTATTATTATTATTATTATTATTAGTAGTAGTAGTAGTAGTAGTAGTAGTAGTAGTAGTAGTAGTAGTAGTAGTAGTAGTAGTAGTAGTAGTAGTAGTAGCAGTAGTAGTAGTAGCAGTAGTAGTAGTAGGCCAAAGACATATAGGGGCAGTAATTGGCACAACGGACTTCAAGACCGAGTACGTAGCGGGAAAGGTCTGTCTAAGATTGCTAACACAGAGCCACATGCGGCCTTTGCTGCATTCACCCATGGAGTCAAGCATGGTTGGAACTACCTGATGTGTACTATCCCTGATATCTGACCCCTCCTCCACCCTCTGGAAGAAGTTATCAGTGTTAATTTCATTCCTAAATTAGTGAAACACCCTGACTTAACCCCAGGAGAAAGAGCACTTCTTGCACTTCCATCAAGACTGGGAGGGATGGGACTAAGCAATCCAGAGGAAATTGCTGCCACCGAACATCAAAATTCATTTAAGCTCACTGCAGCCCTCACGGACCACATAATAGCCCAGAATGCAACAGGGGAGGTGGATACCAGTGAAGTAAATAAGATTCGTAGGTCCATTACGACAGATCGACAGCACTGCCAAAATGATAAGTTGCAGCAACTGTTGCTGCAGGTACCAGAAAATTTGAAAAAAAAAGTAGCTATAGTGCAGGAGGTGGGCGCCTCGAACTGGTTAACTACGTTACCGATAAGGGCAAATGGTTTCAGTCTTAATAAACAAGAATTTACAGATGCCATTGCTCTAAGGTACGGTCGGCTAGTAGAAGGTTTGCCCTCCCAATGCGTGTGTGGCTCTTCCTATGACGGCGATCACGCCATGGTGTGCAAGAAAGGGGGCTTCATATGCATGAGGCATGACGAGGTAAGGGACCTCACAGCAAATATGTTGAAGGAAATCTGCCGGGATGTCATGGTAGAACCGACCCTCCTTCCTTTGGATGGTGAGGTCATCCAACATAGGACTTCAAACACATCTAACGAAGCCCGTGTTGACGTCAGTGCTCGAGGATTCTGGACGCGGGGACAGCGAGCTTTCTTCGACATCAGGATTTTTGATCCCATGGCCGCATGTCACCGTAACCTAGCTCTCGATGCTGCACATAGGAGGAACGAGAACGACAAGAGAAGGGCATATGGGGAGAGAATTCAAAACGTTGATCAAGGCAGCTTTACTCCTCTAGTATTCACAACCTCTGGTGGGATGGGACCAAGTGCAAGATGTTTCTACGCCAGACTCGCGGAGGTGATCTCCGAACAGAAGCAGCAGCCCAGAAGTTATATTACAGCCTGGATGAGATGTCGACTGTCTTTCTCTCTCCTTCGGTCGGCTTTGCTCTGCCTCAGGGGAACGAGAGCTTCTGCCCCAATTCCGACAACTGCTGCAGATATTGATTATGAGGCAACAGTCACTGAATGCCGCATAGAACTGCGGCTCAACTAATTCAACACAGATAGGATAGCTACATATGTATTAGGATATTTAATATTAAGGTAATTAAATGGTGGCGAAGGTGTGGCTATTGGGGGAGGCTGGAGGCCATGTAGTAATAGTAGTTGTAGTAGTAGTACCATTATTATTATTGTTATTATATTCTAATAAACTTTTGCTAATAATTTGCGAATCTGGATTGCATATTATAGATAGATAAATAGATTGATTAATAGATACATAGATAGATAGATAGAAATTTTAAGAAAAAACAAAAAGAGAGAAATTCGCAGAGCTAAATACAGGGAAAAGAAAGAGAGAAAAAGAAAATGAGAGAGAAAGATAAAAGAGGTAAAAGCAAGAAAGAGGCACAGGAGATAGAGGTAAGAGAAAGAACAGGAGAGAAACAAGGAAAGAGTAAAGAAAAAATAGGACCAGCAGAGAACGAAAGAGATATGATATGAAAAAGAGTTATAGAGAAAGAGGAGACACAGAGAATAAAGAGAAAAAGAGAGAGAGAGATAATACCAAATAATAATAAAGATGACCAACAGGTAAGAAGTAATTAAGGACAGGTATTTATATTCTACAGTACAGGTATAAATTGTACAGTGTAAGGTAAGGTAATTACTATGACGCTTATTACTTCAGTTATACCTAATTTTATCTTTTCATTAATGTCTGTGATTTTTTCTAAGATTTTTCCAGGGATTTTACTTTTCTTGTTTATTTTTTCTTCCGTATTAGTGTTATTAGTATTGTTATTATTGTTATTATTATTTGTAGTGGTATAATTATTATTATTATTATTATTATTATTATTATTATTATTATTATTATTATCATTATTAAGGTTATTATTATTATTATTATTATTATTATTATTATTATTATTATTATCATTATTAATGTTATTATTATTATTATTATTATTATTATTATTATTATTATTATTATTATTATTATTATTTTTATGATGATTATTATTATTATTATTATTATTATTATCATCATTATTAGTATAGCTACTAATTCAACACAGCTAGGATAGCTACTTATGTATTAGGATATTTAATATTAAGGTAATAAAATGGTGGCGAAGGTATGGCTATTGGGGGAGGCTAGAGGCCATTTTAGTTTAAAAATAAATCAATATATAAAATAAATAAAAAAAAAAAATAGTTGCAGTAGTAGTGGTAGTTGCAGCAGTAATAATAGAAGCTAGTAGTAATAGTATTAGTGTTAGTAGTAGTGGTAGTAGTAATAGTAGTAGCTAGTGGTAGTAGCAGTAATTAGTTGCAGTAGAAATGGTAATATTACATTGTTAACATTACAAGCGTTAACCTATCACACACACACACACACACACACACTTTCTCTCTCTCTCTCTCTCTCTCTCTCTCTCTCTCTTGTGCATTCGTGTTGAAAGATACAGTATTCATTTATTACTAAAAATACGAGGAGTTAA